AGTCAATGCTATTTGGTAAGCAACTTTATTGGCATTTGCAAGTATTGTTTCCATGGAGATTATATGACCACACCCCCTCATCATGGTTCATTGACTTTGAAACTTTTACGTAGTTTACAAGTTAATTTTATATTAATTTTATATTAACTTATTATAAGTCAATGGTATTTGGTATGCAGTTGTATTAGCACATCTAATTTCCATGTAGATTGTTTAGCCATGTACTTTCAGTCAGGGTTTATTGATTTTGAATATTAGCATAACTTACATGTTAAAGTATTGCTATTTTGATTTCAACATTTGCATTATCAAAATTACAAAAAGGCGAGACATATCTCTGGGCTAACAGTTTTTATTAGTTGTTATTGGCTTTGAACTACATGTAGCCGTCAGTAACTCCGAGTACTCTCAGATCTGTATTTAGTGTTTTCTTGTTGTTGGGATGTACAAGTACCCGGTCATGTCCACGTGTTTTTGTTATATGTATTTCTATTTGTATTCATCTGATGAGTTAAGCCCTTTTCAACTGATTTTTGTAGAACTTTCATTCGTATGTTGTACTGTAACACCATTGTCCCAAGTGAGGAGGAAGGTTGGGATCCAGCTAACATGTTTAACCCCGCCACATTCTGTATGTATGTGCCTGTTCCAAGCCAGGAGCCTATAATTCAGTGGTTGTCGTTTAATTGTTGCTGTGTTACATATTTGTTTTTTGTTCATCTTTTTGTACATTAATTAGGCCGTTCGTTTTCTCGTTTGAATTGTTTTACATTTAATATTTCGGGGCCTTTTATAGCTGACTATGTGGTATGGACTTTGCTCATGGTTGAAGAACGTATTGTGACATATAGCTGTTAATTTATGTGTCATTTGGTCTCTTGTGGAGAGCTGTATACCTCATCTTCTTTTTTATATTCACTTATACTAGTATATTATGGGAAATATTCATTGGCTCCCTTTCATCCAACTAAAAGTAAATTATAGCAATAAGTTTTAAAAAAGGTGTCAGTACATCTGTTTTAATAGGGGAAATGTACACGAGCAATAGCGAAATTAATATTAGTTAGAGCTGCTACTACTATCTACATATTTGGTATCAAAACACGCACTAAATTGAAAATAAGTGTTATAAGTAATGATCAAAATCAACAATGGCAAAGTGAAATATCATAGTTTTTTAGAACCTAGAATTATAGATTTTTTTAAATCTTAACATTAGAACAAAACAGGTACTGGGTACAGAGTTGAAGCACTTATTTTATACCTCAAAGTAACGCGAACCTGATAGAACGCATGGCAACGTGTAATTACATTGAAACTATGGATTCATAATATGTACAACTCTAGATATACCACTGGTACCTGTATATTAAATGCGTGCAATTGTAATGAACCACTACCACTATATGTTGATAAAGTATTGTTTTCTTAATTTCTGGACTGGTAATCGCTATGTGCAAATTAAAGAACAGCGTCCGTGGAAGCCGGACCATACTTTCAATGTCAATGTCAATGAAGATGACACGGATTTATAAATTGACATGTATATCATATATATGTTTTATGAGTTGCTGACTTCATAATTTCCATATAAAACGCCACAAGTGAGTTTTTACTGTGTCCGACATACGATTGAAGTAAAGTGAAGAATTTTTTTAAGGGGGCGGGGGGTGAAAATTTACACCGAGATCAAATTTTCATGGGGTTCAAAATACCATATATGACATATATATAGGTGGACGAGTTATAAAAAATGAAATTATCTGAAACTTGAAAATATGAATTTTAAAAAACCCATTGTAAATCAATCTCAATGCGTGTTTAACCAATGGCTAAAACTTAACCAGCCAAAAAGTACCGGCTAAATTTATCCAGCGGATAGCACATTTTATCCACTTGCTACATTTTGAGCAATAGAAATAATCCTCAAATAAAACTCAATCCTGAACTCCCAAAGAAGTTAAAGATAAATGATTAAACTGTAAAAAAGTTGCAAAAATTATATACACTAATAATAGGAAAGAGTCTGTTAAGTTGGTGAGATTACTTTCTTCCCGAAATACTCGCGGTTTTCTTACATTAGGATTTGGAATATTGAAAATAAGTTGTCGTGCTGCCATTTTGAAACTTTTAACCCTTGGTTAAATATTTAAACCAGCCCCTAAAGGTGGGTTAAATATATCTGCTTTAACCAAGGATTTAACAGAGGGTTAAATTTAACCACAGGATGAACAACAGAAAATAACCAAGGGTTAAAATTTAACCGAGAGTTGAACAACTGGGTCCAGGTATTCAAAATGTATTACATACCTCAAACCAACTATTCTAAAATTATTGATCAATTATTTATAATTCATTTGACGATGACATTAAACATTTGCGAGGAGTTTCAAATTCTATAATAACAATTACCCCTTCCGTGCCTCATTAACTCGAAATAGAAATCCTTATCGATTTATATACTATGCGTTCATTAGTGTAATAATTCTACTAATTAAATTACTAAGTAGATTATTGAAATTAAAGATATTACTTTTGGTCTTTGTGAACACGTGCAACAAGAAGGTCTAAGTGTACATTCTTGCATAATTAATGAGCTCTGGTCTATAAGATAGAAAAACAATCGGGTTTTTGCTATTAATTAGGGTTCTGAAAATGGCAAGAAACATGTTTTCATTAATAACATATTCATGACTTAAAGAAGATCATGCTGACTTTCGCAGATACTGCCAATTTCAAAATGTTTAAATCTTATTGGTATTCAAAGTAGGGGCGGTATCATTCCTTATTGTTAATAGAAATACACGAGTCGAAACAAGCATTTTATATCACAATTGTTACGTAGTAAATCGATTTGTGGATGTTTATATATGAAAGCTTATGTGTAAGTTAATAGAATAATTTAGATTTGAATGGTTTATTTTTTCAATATAAGTCACTTATGAAAAGACAATACAGCTAGTATACAAACCAGTTGGTGAAAAATTCAGTACTCGTTCTTCAGAAATAGTTATCATTTTTCATACATTTCAGGTCAAACCCAGTCTTCTGAGTTCAGACAAGATATAGTTATTTAGATATTTCCTTATATTTTTTGTTTAATTTACAATTATCGTAGGACTTTCGGAAAATAATATGTTACAAAATTTCTGGATGTATACAGATTCAATCATGTTGTTAACATTTTCAGTATATATGCAACTTTTATGAATCATGTGAATATGGCTCCCACAATTTCGACAAATTACCTGTATGATCAGAAGCATGAATGAATTTTCTTGCAAGACAAACTTCCTGGTATATATGTAGGTCAATACATTTAAACAGTCTGTACCATGATCACCGTAGATTTTTGTGAATATATTTTTGACGGTTAGGTCAAAGTGTGTAGTTATTTATTTTCAGAAGACAAAAGACGTTGGTGAATGTTTACAACTTTTAAAATATGCATGATTTTTATTTACAATAGTTGCATTTTAGTAAATATGCAGGTAGGTTTATGCATGCTTTTATTGATTCTATAGCATCCCTTTTATAATACATAAAGTCATAGTAACTACCCAATAGACCACTTTCGAGTTATGTCCTTCACTGGAAAAGTTCGTCAATTATACACTGGCAAAAATGCCACACATGTGTACATGCGTGACACATGCGTTTCACATGCGTGTCACACGCATGTGAAAGAGACGTTTCATGCCACGCATGTGACACATGTGTGAAAAACACATGTGATACGCATGATACACACATGTGATCATGCGTTTCACATGTGAATCACATACGTAAGGAAATACACCTGTGATACATGCGTGATTACTACATGTAAAAGGCATGGTGCCTGTATTAAATATTTTTCAAAATGTCCTCCTATTTGTCCAATTACCATGATTGTTGACATGTTTCTCAGTTCTCATGTGAATTACATGCAATTTCTAACACATTTTTCTTACACATGCGTTATACATGTGTTTTCTCTATATATACACAGGCAAAATGAAATTAAGGTGAATTGAGCATCAATCACACAAATTCACAGTATTTGAGCATATTTTAGATAAGTTAATGCTAATCTAGTACACATTCTATTTTGATATATAAATATTCTTCTTGGTCTTGACTATGTGTTCATACTTCCATTATATTTTACTTTCTTGATCCTAAACAATACAAAAAATATTTATCTATCAACTCCCAACTCACAATATCTCCAATGCAAGAGATAAGATGCAATAAAACAAAGAAGGCAAGCAAATATCCAGGTCACCTTAGTTCACTCCTAGAATTTTTTCGGTTATGTTCAAGTCTCATTACTTTTTTTAAAAGTCATGTAAGGATTGGTGATTCATTTATAGAATATGTATGCACTAATGTATATTTCATTTTTAATATGTATGTACAAGTCATTTTGTGGTTATCAGCCATGAGACAATCCAATCCCATTATGGAAATAGTCTTACTTGCAAAAGATGCCAATTTTTCTTTTGAAAGTTTTGAAGAAGAAAAAGTATTTCACCCTGCCACATATTCCTGTGCCTGTTTCAAGCCAGGAACCTTTTCAGTGGTTGTCTAAGTCTCATCCTAATAAAAAAAAATATTTAAAGAATTTGGTGTTGATGGCAGCTCTTTGATTGGTATAGACTCTGGTTAATTAAGTAGATCATGACATTGTTTAGACACCTGTTCATTGTTGAGGACTGTATGTTAGCACCTTAATGCCTTTCATGTGTTTTTGTTGTGTAGCTGTCTGATTTATTTATACCTCATATCTCATTGTATTAATTAACTGAAATAGAAAGTTCTGTGAAATATATTTTGATATACCATATTGAAAGTCTTGCTGTTATTTACAACCATTTCCTTATTATTTCATATATATATTTCAGTTTTTCATTTTAACACCAATCTTAAGGTTAAGGCAAAAAGAAAACAAATGTTGACAAACAACAGGCATATACCATTAGAAGATCTCAAAGTTTGGCTGCACAATAAAATAAAAATTCTTGTTATTTCAAATATTTATATAAAAATCAGTTTAAAACATGCATTTTCCATTTTTAGACTGTAATTGTCATGTTGGCACAATAATTTGAATTTGAATTGTATTATATTCTGAGAGTACTTGTGGTTGAAAAAATATACACGATATTTAATTCCATGTGTTTTAGATTTCTTGAATACACCACTCCCATATAATGACTACATGTCTGTTAGTAATGTTAAGAGTTCTCTCCTGCATGTAATTGCTGTAATTGCTATTTGTACCCAAGGCTTCCTTCATACATTTGCACTTATCCTTCTAAGATGTTGCTTGAATGATAAAATCCTGTAATACATTATCAGCCATCAGACTCTTGGAATACAGTTGCTGTAATAAAAAAAATAAACTGTAATCACAGAGATATGTCTCGCTTTTTAGTAATTTCGATAATGCAAATGTTGAAATTAAAATAGCAACACTTTAACATGTAAGATTTGCAAATATTCAAAGTCAATGAACCATGACTAAAGGTACATGGCTAAACAATCTCCATGGAAATTAAATGTGCCAATGCTAATACAACGCATACCAAATACCATTGACTTATCATAAGTAGTTCCCTTTAAAAAACCTAAACACAAACTAATACATGTAAACTAAGAAAATTTTAAAGTCAATAAACGATAACTGAGGGGGGGGGGGGGAAATAATCTCCATGGTAATGAGATGTGCCGATGCTAATACAACTGCATACCAAATATCATTGACTTACCACTAGTGGTTTCCCATAAGCCGACCTAATCACAAACTAATACATGAAAACTAAGCAAAACTTTCAAAGTCAATAGACCATGACTGAGGGGGCAGGGCCAAATAATCTTCATGGAAATGAGATATGCTAATGCGTATTTAACTGCATACCAATTATCATGAACTTACCACTAGTGGTTCCCCATAAACTGACCTAGTCAGAAACTAATACATGAAAACTAAGCAAAAATTTAAAAGTCAATAGACCATGACTGAGAGGGTGGGGCCAAATAATCTCCATGGAAATGAGATATGCCAATGCTTATACAACTGCATACCAATCATAATTAACTTACCACTAGTGGTTCTCCATAAACTGACCTAATCACAAACTAATACATGAAGACTAAGCAAGAATTTCAAATTAAGTCAATAAACCATAACTGAGGGGGCGGGGCCAAATAATCTCCATGGTAATGAGATGTGCCAATACTAATACAACTGCATACCAAATATCTTCGACTTACTACTTGTGGTTCACTATAAACTAGACCTAATCACAAACTAATACATTGTTGACGCCGCTGTCGTCACCAACGCCAGAAACAGCATACCTATGCCTCACTTTTTGTCTCCGTCAAGCGAGACAAAAACAGCATATATTTTTTGTAAAACATACATCAAATATTGGATTACCAATCAGGCAAAAAATAATAACATCAATTTAATCTCCAATGATTTACCAAACTTACATATATATATATATATGTCGTGTGAACAACTGGATTGGAATATAATAGTTGTTGTTTATCATATTTATTTTTCGTTTAATGTCTTTTACGTAAATTGGAATTGTATTACATCTGTAATTTCAGGACCTTTTATAGCTTGCTAGATGCAGTATCAGTTTTGCTACAGTTCATACAGTGATCTATAGTTGCTAACATTCAGTCATTTGGACTCTGGTGGATAGTTGTCTCATTGGCAATAATACTACATATTCTCATTTTTATCAACATAAATTACCGTAATAATGAAAACTAACTCTATTCATGCATGTGTACTACACATTACCTGTATATATAATATAAACTAGAATACTCCGGGACATCATGGTGTTGTGACTGAAGCAAAGTACCTTAGCCTTATTTTTAGCCTGAATTTTAAGATTTTTCGTTTTGTCATCTAATAATGTCATGCTGGTCATTAGGTGCACAGTTTTCTCTGCTTTCAAAATCTTTCTTTTTGAACCCTTCGACCCAGAACTTGTTAATTATCTGTAGTAATAATTATGTGGAAAACAAATGGGCCTGGAATGGTGTAATTTTTAATCAACACCATTGTCCTATATATATAAGTTATAAATAAAGTTGAATTCTTTGAATCGTCATTTTTATGTCATGCCGGCTCACAAATTGGACCTTGTTATTTTAGTATTATAGATCTAGATTACTAAGTGCTTGTAGAAACACAATTCCTCATTTTTCAAGCCCCTTTCTTACATGTCTTAACCTCATTTAAATTACAATACCAACTAAAAGCTCCAAGGAGCCTGTGTCGCTCACCTGATATTTTTTTTATTTTACAATTGATGCATGAAATAATGCAACCGATATACTTTTGCTTTAGTTTCAAAGATATAAGTCAAAAACTGCATTTTCCCCCTATGTTCTATTTTTAAACTAGATACCCTAATGCTTATTATGGCCAAGTTTGGTTAAATTTGTCTCAGTTGTTTCAGGAAAAGACTTTTGTAAAAGATTACAAAAATTTACGAAAAAATTGTTAAATTTGACTTTAAAGTGCAATAACTCCTTATGGGGTCAATTGACCATTTTGATCCTGTTGACTTATTTGCGAATCTTATTTTGCTGAACATTATTGCTGTTTACAGTTTATCTCTATTATAATGTCCAAGATAATAACCAATAAATTGCTTTGCCGAGCGCAGCTGGATATGACCACAGAGGTCCAACCCTGAACAGTTGGGGCAAATATGGACACAATATTTGCGCTTGATACAGGTCTGAATTTGGATTGCAATTCAATATTTGACACATAATAGGTTTCTGACACAGAATAACTGTAGTCGAAGAACTTGAATTGGTTATATGATTTGAATTTATATTCAAAAGTTTGCTTTTGTGTGATACACTATGCTGTTGCGAATTGACCTCCATCCCCTTTTAAAAAAAAAAAATAAATTTGAAGGATTTTCTTTTTGATTTTGATTTCTGAAATCTTGAGGAGAAAAAATTGTCCCCCCCCCCCTCTTTTTCCAAAAAAAAATCAAAGCACTGTAAGCACTGTAGGCAGTTAACCAAAAACCAAGGCAAACATAATTATGAAAACTGTGGCTATGTTGCTTCATTTTTTTTAAGATTTAAAAGAACAAACATTAAACATTCATATATTGTGCATTTATGTTCATTTAATGAATTAATTATTAAGGCAAATAATTCATATTTTATCAAGGTTTTCAAAAGCAACGCATATATCAAGTATATTTTTAATGGTCATGTGTCTGCAGTGGTACAAGTTCGAAATGATTGCAGTTGTTCTAGTTGATAGTTAACGTTGGTATTAGTTGACTGTTAGTAGTTCAAGTTGACTTAGTACGAGCTTGTAATAGTATGCATGGACTTGCTTCCCTGGAAAGAAAACTGAGTTTGTGTTCTACAGTGCAAAAGTTATGAGACACAAATCAGACAAATGTTTACTACTACGGGGATCAAAGGTGAGGTCTGACTGACCTGCCCATAGTAAATGTAAATGACCCCCACCTTCACCCCAAGTCCATGATGTCTAAGTTTGGAATAAAATGACAGGTGATTATAATAAAGTTGGTCAAACACTCTTGGGCTTGAAAGATATGTTTTCTTTAAAATGAGCCATATTAAAATGAAATTTTTTATAGAACCAGAAATTATTCAAAATATAATTAAGGTAAATTCTTTAAACCTACTCATTTTTTGCATCAATAAAATTTTATAATAAACAAGAAATAATTGTAACAGAATGCTGTTACGAAGTCTCCCAAACAAAGCTGCCATAATTATTCGTTCCCATGGTCGCCTGACATTGGGCAAAGTCTAGTACACATTGATTAGGTCTAGTAAAGTGATATGCATATGTGATGCCTATGAGATTGATCTTGTATGTCATTCAAATCTGTTTGAAATGACGAACAGGAATGAATATGGTTTAGGAGTTGGTATCTCAAACTTTTACAAGTTCTTAAAACACACACAAGAGGGGATGGGGTGACCTTAGGGACTAACCCTATATTTCATTTGATTTTTTATGTTGTCCCATACATGAATATATATATGGTTTAGGGGTGGGGATCTCGACCGTTATCAAGTTTTCAAACAGGAGGGGGTGGGGTGACCCCAGTGACTTCCCCTATATTTCATTTGATTTGTTATATTGCCAAATACATGAGTATATATGGTTTAGGGGTGGGGATCTCATCTGTTTCCAAGTTATCAAACAGGAGGGGGTAGGGTGAACCTTAGGACTCTCCCTATATTTCATTTGATAAGTTCTGCTGTCCCATACATGAATATATATGGTTTAATTTAGAGGTCGGGATCTCGACTGTTTCCAAGTTCTCAAACAGGAGGGGTGGGGTGACTGCAGGGACTCCCCTATATTTCATTTGATTTGTTATATAGTCCCATACATGAGTATATATGGTTTAGGGGTGAGGATCTCGACCGTTTCCAAGTTCTCAAACAGGATGGTTTACAGTGACCATAGGAGCTGCCCCTATTTTTCATTTGATTTGTTATATTGTCCCATACATGAATATATATGGTTTAGGGTGGGGATCTCGACCGTTTTCAAATTCTCAAACAGGAAGTGGTAGAGTGGCCCCAAGCACTCAACCTATATTTCATATGATTTGTTATATTGTCCCATACATGAATATATATGGTTAAGGGGTGGATCTCGACCGTTTCCAAGTTCTCAAACAGGAGGGGTGGGGTGACCCCCAAGGACTCCCCCTATATTTCATTTCATTTGTTATATTGTCACATACATGAATATGTATGGTTTATGGGATCATTATTTTTTTGTATGCTCCAATGAACAAATTATGTCTTTAAGAGAAAGATATATACCTACATATTACACACAAAATCCTTCCCAATTGAAACTTACTGGTCTATTATCACACTGTAACGTGCCACTGCTAACAAAAGTGTGCATGTTTCTAAGACATATTGAAAAAATATTTTCATAATACAAAGCATGTTACAATAACTTCATATCCATGTTGCAATTAAGAATTTTGCAAACAAATCAACCAACTATAGTTTATTTCCATTTTATTGTATGATATCACTTATTTATTTATTGTGTGTCTTGCTTGTAAATGTATAAGTATATATGTAATTGTTAATGTATAATTGTTATCCTCTTGTAGCACCATACGTGTGCTTAAGTTTAAATAAATTGTCTTGTCTTGTCTTGTCTTGGGATCTTGACCGTTTCCAAATTCTCAAACAGGAGGGGTGGGGTGACTGCAGGGACTCCCTCTATATTTCATTTGATTTATTATATTGTCCCATACATGAATATATTTGGTTTAGGGGTGGGGATCTCGACCATTTCAAAGTTCCCAAACAGGAGGGTTGGGGTGACCCCAGGGACTCCCCTGTATTTCATTTGATTAGTTATATTGTCCCATACATGAATATATATGGTTTAGGTGTGGGGATCTCGACTGTTTCCAAGTTTTCAAACAGGAGGGGTGGGGTAACCCTAGGGACTTCCCCCTATATATTTCATTTGATTAGTTATATAGTCCCATACATGAATATATATGGTTTAGGGGTGGGGATCTCATCCGTTTCAAAGTTATCAAACAGGAGGGGGTAGAGTGACCCAAAGGATTCCACCTATATATCATATGATTTGCTTACATTCAGGTATCATAAAATCTAGTTGCACTATTTGCGAAAACAAAGTAAGAAACTTCCAGCTATGTTAACTGACCCTTCAAAATTGAGAAAAAAATTGCAGTAATATGTTTACACTTTAAAAGCATCTTACATGCATTATCAACATTTATCACTGATAAAGAAGATTTATACTGTCACCAGGAACATATATATTGTTAGATATACTGTTCCCAGCTGTCACATTGTATTGGATTTTGACATTAAAATTTGTCAAAAAGTAATTTTGAGTTTCTGTATCAAATATTTTTTTCTTTTTCTTTCTTTTACATATATCTTTTGGTTTCCATTTCTAGTGTTTATATGTATTTACCATGCATAGATGTATTTTGTCACCTGCCTGAAAAAATTTTTTGTAGTTGATCTCCAAAACCCGGAATTACCCTTATCCGCTTCCGGAATCGGACCCGATATTGTAATTGTCTACACGGCATCCATTGTTTTTCAATGTTGTTTTTGTCAGTCAGATACGATTTTACTCGAATTTACACATTACTTGTAGGCGATTATCTGTATAAAGCTAGCGGTTGAACAAAATGAACATCGCTGTCATGAATAATAAAGATGAAAATACGTTTTGAGATCGTTTATTTAGAGACTTTGGTAAAAAGGTTTGCAAAGTTATTTTTAATTTTCTTTCAAGTGAAAGGTCCGTCGGGCGTAGCTAGTAACCAAGTCGAGAGTCCGATTGCAACAGTGGAAGGTCGCGGACCTCGGACCACCGCTAATTTGAATCCCTGCCTCCAAATTGAAAAGATACGAAAATTTCGTCTTCTAATTTGTCATTATTTGAAATTGTCGCCAACAGCATGAACAGTGGAACTTATTAATAGACTACTGACGTAGTTGTAACACGTATTGACGACAAACAATATTCCTACGACTTTTGCCATTTGGGAAATCTAAACTGCTTGTCTTTAAAGATTTTCGGCGATTAAATATTTCATACAATTGTTCTTTGACATCTTAGCCAAAAGCACAGGGGATAATAAACTACATAAGGATTCCTAATGTGCTCTACTTCCTATGTGCAACTTCAAAACTTTTGGGTGGTTCGACGATCATTTAAGGTTTTTTCTGGTCATATTTTTGTAATCCAGAATTAAAAGTATGAAAAAACTATTCAATTAGTTATAAATAACATTATATCCAGCTAGATAATAACAATGGCACGTATTTCAGCATTTATTGGGTAGAACACAAATCTAGGGTGCTCGCATAAGGCAGCTTAACTGCCTAAAAATCTTTCCCTCAGTTATGGTCATAGTTTCAATTCAAATTTCCAAGATGTATTTGAATTACCTCCCTTACACTGTAATTTGTACTTAAGTAATTGTCCATTTACCAGGACACCCTTGTTTTTTCTCACTTTTTTGCCCCCCAATTCCTAAATGGTTTGAGCCATAACCCCCCAAAGCCAATCCTAACCATCCCTTTGTGGTATGGAAACTTGTAGTATAATTTCAGAGAGATCCATACACTGTTCCACAAGTTATTGTCATGAAACTAGAAAAATGCTTATTTGGGCCCCTAATTCCTAAACTGTTGGGACCATAACCCCCAAAATCAATCCCAACCTTCCTTTTGTGGTTATAAACCTTATGTTTAAATTTCATAGATTTCTATTTTCTAATACTTAAGTTATTGTCCGGAAACCAAGTGTCTTTGGGCGACGACGACGACAACGTGATACCAATAATTTTTTGTGGTCGTATAAAAATTGAAAAAAAAATTCTTAAAATTACCAATTCAGGGGCAGCAACCCAACAACGGGTTGTCTGATGCGTCTGAAAATTCAACAGAGATAGATATTCACCTGATGAACATTTTTACCCCATGTCAGATTTGCTCTAAATGCTTTGGTTTCAAAGATAGAAGCCAAAAACTGCATTTTACCCCCATGTTCTATTTTTAGCAATATTGGCCATCTTGGTTGATGGGCAGGGTCAACGGATACATTTTTTAAACTAGATACTCTAAGGATGATTTAGGCCAAGTTTGGTTTTATTTGGCCCAATAGTTTCAGAGAAGATTTTTGTAAAAGTTAACGGACGACGACGGATGCCAAGTGATGAGAAAATGATGCAATTAACAGCAAAAGTAGGCGAGACACTGGGTTCTGCGGAACCCTTACGATTTTTTTGAAATTGCCTTGGAATTCAGTATTTTTGTTATACCATTTGGAAATTAAATACTGTAACAAATACATACCAGTTACATTTATATATACTGTAGCTATAGGATCTCCTCAATATCTTATCCTGTTGTTAATTTCATTTAAACATATAATGTATATAGCTTCCCTTCCACTTACATCTGAGGAGCTAATTCTGAAAATTAAAATTCCTGTGATTATCATATAAAATCTTAACCTGATGCAGTCTGCTTTCCAATAAGAATAAATTAGGAATACAGTTATCCCTTGGCAAAGAGAGAGAAAACAAGTGATATTTTTATATTATAACCAATACTGCACATGGTAATTGGAACATCACTAGTTTTCTGGATTGGATTGTTGCTCACTTTGTCAGGATCTTTTACAGCTGACTATATACTGTAGAAACATTAATTTTCGTGGGCTTAAAATTTCGTGGTTTTGTCTCTTTACAAGATTTCATGGGGATTTAATTTCGTGGTTTCCAGTAAATGGAAGTGATATTATATGTAGGTTAAATTTTTCGTGGGGGTTTTAATTTCGTAGATATATTCTTTCCACGAAATAAACAAAATTAAATCCTCCACGAAAATTTCTGCTTTTACAGTAGTATGGTTTTGTTCATTGTTGAAAGTCATACAGTGACCTAAATTTTTTTACATCCTCTTTGACTAATGGAATGTTTTCTCATTGACAATCCTACCATACATTGTAAGACCTTATTTATAAAATACTAAAAATTTCAATCTGTGACAATAACATTTTATTAATTAAATAAGGTAATCTGATCAACATTATGAAGTAATTTTCAAAACACTCTGTCATTGTCTGACAGCGATCAAAGTAATTTAACTTCTATGACAATGTACAATGATGTATATATGTGCAAGGCTCAAAACTAAGTATTACAACTAAATTCATACATATATCCATATACATTTACAAGGTACTTAAAAAATCAGCGAGACTGATGCATAAAATGTAGGTAAAAAAAAAATACTTTTGTTGGATCCTGCATCATAATTATTTCAAGTTAATGAAGGCAAGTCATAATCATTGAGTATGAATGTCAATAGATACAAACAAGTCACAAAAGTTTCTTGCCATTTGGTGAACACATTTTGAGTTATTGTCCCAAAACTGGAAAATCCCCATTTAAAGTTTTTTAATGTTTTTTGGATATCAACAACTTTGTCAAACATACATGGAATTTTGACATGGAATTAGTTATATCTGCACACAAGAACACACATTTGTATGTGTTTTTTCTGCATAAACATGTAATTCATAATTTATTAAAACTTCCGACATAGTCCCATTGTGCATCTCTTTTTTATGCCCTTGTCGTAACGGAGGGGGCATCAAGTTTTACACTTGTCTGTCTGTACATCCTTGCATACTTGCATTGAGAAATAGGTTTTATACCCTTTTGATATATTGAATATTTTGACATTACACAGTCATACTTTTCTTAAGACTGCATAAAATGACAAACTGTGAAACATTGTTACACTAAATCTGTTGAATGTAAACTGATAGATATTTTAGTTTGGGAAAACATGTTTTTTGCACCTTTTTTATTATAAGACCTATTGATGAATCCAGTCCTTTTTGGCTAATTTTGAAAGTTGGTTCTTATGTTGTTTGCTGTCTGCCATTACTGTATGTAGTTTATATTTTTCATCCTTGTAGGTTACTTTATGGTATTGATTTTGTTCATTGTTTAAGGCTGTACATTGACCAGTAAATGTTTACATCTTTGTCCTTTGGTCTATTAATTGATAGTTGTCACATTAAGGATCATACCTCATCTTTTTATATTTATATGCTAGGTCATTGAAAAAGCTCCAAGGATACAACATAATTTAATTGTTATATATTTGCAAATTCATTCTGATAATGCAAAAACATAAATGGATTGACTTTTTTTCTTATTTTAATGTCCAGAGGCAAATATTTTATGTACTGTGGATTCATTATTATTCGTTGGATACCAATTTTCGTGGATTTCGTGGGTACAGGGAAACTACGAATTTAAATGTTCAATGAATTACAAATTTCCTGTATGATTATATGCAGACTTTTGGATAACCACGAAATTAAATATCCACGAATATGCAAGTTTTCCTCAATCCACGAAAATTTGTACCCACGAAAATAAATGAATCCACAGTATTCTAAACGAGAACAACTTATCATGATCAATTAATAATATAGGCCAGTCTGACAATGCTTGTTTTAGACCCTTTTTGGTCTCTAATTCATGAATGGTTTGGGCAAATACCCCCAAAATGAAACTTAACCTTCTACTTGTGGTACAATTTCATAGCAATTAAAATACTTATAAACAAGTTATTGTCCTGAATTTAGAAAAATGCTTGATTTGGGCCTTTTTTGGCCCCTAATTCCTACACTGGTTGAACCATGACGCAAAAAATAATCCCAACCTTCCTTTTGTGGTATTGAACCTTTAAATCTATTTCATAGACATTCATACACTTAAACTGAAGTTATTGTCCGGAAACCAAATGTCTTCGAACGAGTTGATAGCAATATACGACCTAAAAACTTTTTTGCTGTAGTATACAATATGGTTGTTCTTTTAAACATTTTCATAAATAATCTAAAAGAAATGTAGACCTGTTTGGGATTGCTTGCAATGCAATTTTCATTACATTAAACAATATATATTTCCACGGAATAACTTCTGTAAACCTAAATTTTAATAGCACTTACTTTCTAACTCGTACATTTCAAAGTGACATTATTCCTGTATAAACTGCCAAATAAACAGATCACCGATGTAGTAATAAATCTTAATTATAAATTTAATACTAAACAGAAAACAATGAACTTGCGGAAAAGATGGTATACCGCCAACAAAAGGTGCAAAGGTTTTATTTCTTGGTTTCCTTAAACTGACCTCATCATGAATATCAACAATTTTTTTACGACTATGCCTCTATTGAAAACAGCATGCCTAAGTCACAGCTTCATAACTGTTGTGGCTAGACAAAAAAGAACAAGCGATTAAGAGAGCTTTGAATGCAATTTTCTATAAAAATGACCTGTAAAAAAAATAAATTTGTCACTTCTAACATGGATAATTTTCGAACTTGCCCACAACATTACAAGAATCAAACTTTAAACTCTTTGACCTCAAACTTTTAAAAAAATCTTCGAAACTGCATGTACAGAGCCTGACAAGAAAAAATTATTCAAACATAGTTATCATTTTCATTACATACCTCTCATCACAAAATTATTCATTGACTACTGCTCCTCATATCCACATAAATCAATAGGACAATCTATGACTCCACTATATAATCTAGAAAGCAATGCCTCAAATGAATTCTGTCCTGTTGCTTAGCTTCTCCTACTTCTCAAAGTAATTGTACATGTACTTTCGTTGAAAAAGCTAAAATAAATAATGTTTAATAAAATGAAGTTATAATACAATGTATCTGCCAAAATTGCCTTTAATATTTTGATCTGGCAAAATTGGCTTGCTTTGATCTTTTAAAACTAGACCAACAAACTTTCCCAGAAAAAAAAATGACTACAAAAAAGTATTTAATCATTTTATTAATGTTCTAATCCATCATATAAATTCCATATGACCCTTGAATGAAGGGATGAACAAAAGTGATTACATGTACAGTATATATTACAGGATCTCTGAATCTGACATGATTTATAATGCCAATCTTTGGGGATTAAGTTATTAATAATCATGATACTTTGAAATTTTAAGTCATTCAAAGTTGTTTAAATTACACCAAAAGTTGGACTATTTTATATAAGGTAGTATCTGAGAAATGGACTAAACCAGGCAAGGTTTGGTGGTAAATACATTGTACATGTACAATGTACTTTGTTTTTGGCTTTGAACTAAGTGTTAGTAACTGGGAGTACTCTCAGATCTGAACTTGGTCTTTTTTTGTTGTGGGGATGTGTAAGTACCCACCACGTCTTGTGTGTGGTTTTGTTAGATGTCTTTCTACTTTGTATAGATCTGACGAGTTAAGCCCTTTTCACATCAATATACCAGGTTAGGAGGTGGGTTCGGCACCACAAACTACTAGTCTAGCCCCACCCCATCCTGTACATATTTGTATGTATGTGCCTTTCCCATGTCAGGAGCCTGTAATTCAGTGGTTCAGTTTGTCGTTTGTTGCTGTGTATCATATTTTGTTTTTTTTGTTCTTTGTTTTGTATATAAATTAGTCTGCTAGTTTTCTTGTTTGAATTATTTTACAAATTTGTCATTTTCATTTGGGGTCTTTTATAGCTGACTATATGGTATGGGGTTTGCTCATTGTTGAAGGATGTACAGTGACCTCTAGTTGTTAACTTTGATGTCATTTGATCTCTGATGGAGAGTTGTCTTTTCTCATTAGTGTAAACAAGATTTTATTTTGAAAATAATTAGGTTATTTAAACATTACAATATGACAGTTTTATAAGGATTGGAAAACAAGTGAATTTTCACAGACTTTTACCAATTCCTCTCTTTTCTCATTGGCAATCATACCACATTTTCTTATTTTTATATTTACATTACGTACATGTAAAGTAGATCTTTCATCTCAAGGACTAAACTAGGGAATTTCAAGCTGGGAGCCCAGACCAGATATTTCATAATTAGTTTCTATATGTTCAACTGAAATTTACCTGAAAGTTTAGGGGCCCAGCTCAAAATCTAGGAGCCATGGGCGACTGGGCTCCCTTTAAGTTTTGTCCCTGCATCTTCTGGAGGTGTCCGATTCCTAAGTACATGTACAACAGGGGGCCCTAATTAACAGCATGATTTTGAGTCGGCTAAAAACAATCAGATAGATTATGATACAATTAACAGGTTTCTTTGCAATTATTTTGCAATTAACTAAGCTAATGCAAGAATAAAGTTATTTTCCAATAAATACATAAATTAAATAATAGTAAATAATGAATCTACAATTATATTTTAAGAAGTGAAACATCATTTAAATTCAATAAATATCATATATTAAATTTCAATTTTTTTTTTTAATTCTGGGTAGATAAGTTTTCATTTTTTTAAAGTACATGTAGGGCGAGTTGGTAGACCTTTATCTGTTTATAATATATTTATTATATATTATCATGATTATATTCATTTGGATTTTACCCAAGTTAGGCAAGTTGCCACTGTTGGCAGGAGTACATTGACATTGTATATTTAACAGGATTTAATCCTTTTCACAAGTGGGGCGATTTTTTTAATGTGGGGCAAGCAAGTTGGTATGAAGGGAGCTACCACTTGATTTGGTGGTGGGGGGGGGGGGGGGGGGGGGCTAGGATGAAAATGTTATGAACAGTTATCCTGCATTTTTTTTAGTTGTAATATCTGTCCTGACAGTTTATTATTCATTCTTTTCGGTCCTGGCTTTTATTTTTTTACTCAAAACTCCTGTCCCGCATTTTTTCAAATTCCGTCAAAGCCCCCTCTCCCATAAAAATCAAATGGTAGCTCCCTAAACAAGAGTGGAGCGATTTTAAAATAATGGGGCGTTTTGCCAATTGCAATGGGGCGAGTTGACTTGCTTCCGTTTTTGCCAATCTTTGACTGATTTTCGGGTTTATACATGCATGACATGGATAAAGTCAAATGGTTTTTCGTGAAAAGTATAGCACTAGCATCTTCCTAAAAATGCGCATGATTATATTTACATTTCATTGCGCTTTCCAAGTACAATAAGTTGGTACGTAATCCATCAAAACGAAACACTTTCGTTGCGTTGACTTTCGTTCCCCGGATTCAGTTAGTCGACAATGTAAGTTACTAACCCATTTCAATATATCTGTTTATAATAACTTTTTGATCCATCAGTTTGAAAAATCAAAGGTCTTTGTATCAACTATCTGACTATCTTTGTCCATTCTTTTAAAACATGAATTCAGCAGCAGACGAGCGTCCATGGATTTTGCGTCATAGTATAAAAACGACAACGGTGAAAAGATTTCCGGGTTTCCGTATTCGAAGTGCCAAGCTTTCGTACATTTACGTATATATATGAGAGTTAGTCTGGAATCAAGAATGGGGATTTAAATAAGGACACAAAAAAAATATATAGATAGTTGAAAAGCAAAAATATGGAAAGAAGGATCATAGAGAATAATTGAGTATACTTAATTATGAAGAATCATGCAAAGACATTATTCTCAGAGCATATACATGTCTCTGGAAGAATTGAGAATAAAGAATCAAAGCACCAAAGGCGCTATAGGCAGTTAATTAAAAAAATCAAAGGTAAACTTGGCAGAAGTTAAGATGAATATAGTGGAAGAATGGATGAAAATATTTTTCTCTAATTCTTCGTCAATTTATCCCTTTCTGCACCCATTGTATAAAAAAAATTTAATCAACGTGTGGTTCGTTTGATCTCAGTTCTTCATTGGTTAAAATCCGATTATGACGTCGAATTTACTTGCTTTCCTCTGAATTTCCTATTGTGACGGCCTGAAAAAAGGCGACCATGCCTGATGACGTCACATAGAAAGAACACATCTTTTTACAGATCATTCGAAAAGACGGAATAAGTTTGCCTGCATATTGTTTGAAAATCATTAGAGAAACAGATTCCACCACCAAATCTCGTGTAATACGATATTTATCCACTCTCGACAGTTAAATTTTAAATATTTAAAACGCTCGGCGAGCCTCGCGTTTTAAATTTGAAAATTTAACTGTCTCGAGTGGATAAATATCGTATCACACTCGATGCAGTGGTAGAATCTATATATCTCAGCTATTTCTCAAGTATCAAATAATGTTTGTACCGTAATGTTTCTGCTATCCAATCCTACCACTTTCAAAAGTTATTTCCAATTTATTTTTTAAAGATTTAATGTCTGAGATTATGCACATTCACTGTCCCATGTTAGGGGAGAGTTTTGTGCCAGCTAACATGTTTAACCCGCCACATTCTGTATGTACCTGTCCATAGTGAGGACCCAGTAATTTGGTGATTGTTGATTGTTGCTGTATATCATATTTATTGTTCATAATTGTTTTGTACATAAATCAGGCTGCTTTAGTTTTATTGTTTTACATTTGTCATTTCGTGGTCGTTTATATCTTACTATGCAGTATAGGTTTTGCTAATTGTTGCAGGCTGCATGGAGGAATATTCTTTTCAGAATAATAATTTCAATTATGGTGTCCAACAGTGGTGTATGGTTTAATTCCACTATGTACTAGAGTTTGAATATGCCATATTAGCGCTTTTAGTTGGATCAGCTGGTGCCACTATGCACAATTATCAAATCATACCTGAAACTATCTGAAATGGTGTAATTTTCTTGTATACTAGTATTACAAGAAATGCTGATGTTGTTATAATGGTCTAGCAATGATGCAACATATATTTTTGAAGGCTGTACGGTTGCCTGTAATTGCTTACATCCACTTCATTTGAATTTTGGTGGATAGTTGTCTCATTGGCAATCATACCACATCTCCTTATTTTTAAAATAATTACACATGTCTAATCTATAATAAGCTATTAACACAAGGTAATGTTTTGCCTATTTGTTATTTTGATAATGCAAATGTTACACTTAAAATAGTAATACTTTAACATGTAAGTGATATTCAAAGTCAATGAACCATGACTGAAGGTACAAGGCTAAACAATCTCTATGGAAATGAAAGGTGCCAATGCTTGTTCAACTGCAAACCAAATACCATTGACTTTTCATAAGTCGTTCCCTTTAAACAAACCTTAACACAAATTCAATTTCTAAGTCAATGAACCATAATGAGGGGGTGGGGTTATATAATATCCATGGAAATGAAACTTTTGAATACATACGTTCGCATACCAAATAGCTTTGACTTAAGATTGCTGGTAATTTTAAACTGACATAATCATAATAATCACAAACTCATTCATGTAAACTAAGTAAAAGTTTCAAAGTCAATAGATCATGCATATGACTGAGGGGTGAGGACCAAATATCCTCTATGGAAATGAGACGTACTAATGCTTCTACACCTACATGCCAATTATCATTGACCTACCACTATTGGTTTCCCTAATACTAACCTAATCGAAAACTAATAAATGAAATTTCAAAGTAACATAAGTTTCCAAGTAAAAAGAGCATGATTGAGGGGGCGGGGCCAAATAATCTCAATGGAAATTAGAAATGAAAAAGTTTATACAACTGCACACCAAATATCATTGACCTACCACTAGTGGTTCCCCCCAAACTGACCTAATCACAAACATATACATGTAAACTATGCAAAGTTTCAAAGTCAATAGACCATGACTAAGGGGGTGGGGCCAAATGTTCTCTATGGTAATGAGATGCGCCTATGCTAACACAACTACTTACAAAATGTCATTTACCTACCAGAAACCAGACCTTATCACAAAATCACAAACTAATACATTGTTGATTCCGCCAAAACAGCATGCCTATATATATATATATATATATATATATGTCTCACTTTTTGACTCTGTCAAGGCAAGACAAAAATTGCAACAAATTTAATACAAATATTTTGTCCATCTTTTTTTAATATTCTTCATTTCTTAGATATATCAATGCTGCGTTCACACATAATTCGAATTCGATTCACATTATTAACTGATTTGAATTAGTTTAATACGCATTCGAAACGTTTAATGTCCAAAAGT